TCAGTTGTTGTCAATTCGTTCATTAATGAACTTTCCAAACAATACAGTACTCTGGTTTCGAGAAAAAATAGATGCATCCACCATTACACAGAAGGATTATAGAATATTGTGCTTAATCCCTTCGTGTTGTGGGGTTTAATTCTCTTTATTGATTGTTCTGTAACTCAATAACCACAGATTATTTCATATTCTGTGTACACGGCAGTTGTGTATTTTTTCCTGTTTCTTTGCGATTATCTTGTACACATGTTTGTTCTGAATAGGGAAGTCTGTAACGCAAAAACAGTAAGATTTATCAGGGATATGAAAACAACGTAAAATATTCAATAAAGATTTTTTTTTATATAATCATATTTTGTTGATGTAAATCTTTATACAATCACATTTTGTTCATGTAGCAATCAATAAAGAAATTATACAATTATATTTTGTTCATGTAACAATCAATAAAGAAAATATACAATCATATTTTGTTATGTAACAATCAATAAAGAAATCAATCATATTTTTGTTCATGTAACAATCAATCAAGAAATTTACAATCATATTTTGTTCATGTAACAATCAATCAAGAAATTATTCAATCATATTTTGTTCATGTAACAAACTGTAGATATTTACATCCGAAAAAGACATACGTTTTGCCTGAGGAGACCAACATAAATCTTGCCAGGGAAGTTGCCGTTGACAGAAGCGTCTTCCCGGCCTGCTGCTTTTGTCAGAGAAAATGGGTACTCTCTCTACTCGAAATGAAGCCAACTTTTTCGTTTAAAAAAAACTTTGGGAAGATGTGATCCTATCCTGGGTTGCTCTTTGTATGTATACGCACACGCGCGCATAGACACACGCCACGTACGCCACACACGCAATACACACACACACGCACACACACACACACACAACACACACGCACACCACACACACACACACACACACACACACACAACACACACACACACACACACACACACACACACACACACACACACACACACACACACACACGATTTCCCCTTCATGACAAGGAAAAAAAAACTAAATCAGCATATAAAATTACAAATGAATATCTAAATAATTTACATCATCACGAACACGAATTCAGTTCTTGTTAAGAGGGCCTTCCGCCTGCCTCTCAATGGCCAGCCAAGTTCAAACGCTAATATCCAATCCCAGACAATTCATACAGAATCACAGACAATTTGCTGCGTGTGGATTTCAATCAGGCATCTCTCCTCTCTCCCGTTTTCACTTTCTCTTATTTATTCTATTTTCGCTTTTCGTATTATTTTACTTTATGTTTTTCCTTTGTGTGTGTGTGTTTAAAGTCAGTGAATCGGAACGCTTCGAACAGGGAAATCAAAACGGGAATTGAACTGTCTAAGTGAGTGATTTTTAACTAAGGGTCAATTTGCCTTCGAGGGAATTCGGATTAATAGGCAAAAGGGGGTTTAATCTGTACTAGTATTGAGGGATGAATGTGGTGGATCTTGCTCGCCGATTTAGGCTGGAGATCGGTGTCTGCTGTGCGTGTTTGTGGCCGGGAGAGGGTCTGCTTGTTTGTGAGTTGGCAGCGTTCCTTGCGTGGTCTTGTATGTACGTACAGACACACACAAGTGGTGTGTTTGTGTGTGTGTGTGTGTGTGTGAGAGAGAGAGAGAGAGAGAGAGAGAGAGAGAGAGAGAGAAATAGATCAAGAGAGATAGAGTATATAGATAGATAGATAGACAAAATATATCTAACATACTCCCCCTCTGCCCTCCCCCAGCCGAGGCTTCGCCGGCATGAAGGCCGTCCGGTCGCTGGTCCGCCTGGGCCGCCAGCGATCCCGCAGCGCCGGGGCGGACGACGAGGAGCGCTGCGGACTCAAGGACGCGGACCACAACGACGCCCGCGACATCAGCCGCCCGCCCTCCGCCTGCTCCACCATCTCCGACAACGAGTCCACTTGCTCCGTCTCCACCAACGTCAAGGCGAAGAAGTGAGTCCGTTGGTTTTCTTTTTTTTTTTTTTCTTGTTTTTTCTCTTTTCATGGCCCTCTTTTCCTCTTCTTTTTTGTTGTTTCTTTCTTTTGTCACTGTTTTTTCTCTCACTTTTTTTTGTATCTTTTTATATTTTTTTCCTTTTTCTTTTTTTGCTCGTTCCTTTTGTTTTCATTTTTTGCTGTTTCTTTTTTTTCTTTCTCCTCACTCTCTTTTTTTCTTATTTTCTTATTTTTTCTTCTTTCTTTTTGGTATTTTCTTTTGTTGTTTCCTTTGTCTTTTTGCGCGTGTTTTTTCTCTCTCTTTTCCTCCCCCTCTCCTTTTTTGTATCTTTTCTTATATTTTTTTCTTTTGGTTTTCCTTTTGTCTCTTTTGTCTCCTTTTTTTGCTTGTTTTTTCTTTTTTTTTCTCTCCTTCTCTTTTGTATCTTTTTTATATATATATTTTTCCCCCTTTTTTTCTTCTTCTTTTTTTCTTCCTTCTTTTTTGTACTTTCCTTTTTGTAATCCTTTTGGTTGCTA